GAACCTCTGTTGGGAAATGAATTAAAACGTGGAATTTGGTTAAATAATATTCAAAAATATTTTAATATAGTAATATCATCTATTTTAACATTGTAATATCTTAAAATGCAGGCGTGCAAAATTCGCGTAACTTATTTAGACAGTTTTCAATTGATTCTTGAAGCTCTGGTTTTAAAATACTATAGTTCTAACATTTAATGATACAAGTATTAACTAAGATAAACAATTTTGTGTTAAATTAAGAGTGAATTTGAAGTTAAACACACTTGATAACCATGAAGAAGAGAAAATTGACCGACCGGCTGAAGGAGCATTAGTTGAAATAATTATTCGAGAATATTCGGTAAGTTATGTTTTTTTTAAACAATTTTAAACTCTCTTTCTCTGGCTCTCTATACCTTAAAAACCATGTTTGTGTCCCATGTCGGTTTGGGCTTATAGAACAGAATATAATAAATATAATAAATAAAAAAATAGTACTACGTACTTATAGGTGCCAAGTTTTATTTGGGACATATAACAAAATTCATACGTGATAAAGCTATATTAATTGTATAGTTGCAGCACGAATGGGTCGGCTCGATCGGAGTAAGAACACGCTTTCACAGAATACCAGCGTAAAATGGCAGCCAAACGCTGCTGTGTTTCGTATGGATACCCTTTTTACTAGAAACGAGGCATTCCATCTTAGTCCTCAGGGGTGACAATGCATCAGCGTTGTGATTTTTATTTGAGGATAGATGTAGATGTCTGAGGACCACAGCATCTACTTACCATCAGCTCGGCTAGGATGGGCTGGGGACAAAAAATTTATCCCCCGATTATATCCACTGACAAGAGATTAAATTATTTTGTCCTTATGCTAAAGCATGACAACGGGGAGAATTATATCCCCGTTTGACATAACGAGGAGACATGTATTCCCCGCCCGTAGCACGGAGCCCAATAAAAGATAAAAAACCGGCAAAGTGCGAGTCGGACTCGCGCACCGAGGGTTCCGAACAAATCCGTAGGTACATATAGTTTAAAATTATTAAAAATATTTTTATTATATGATGTCATTAAAAATTTATGAATATATGTATGATATTAATATATATGATAAACATTTTCCCTTTTCCCCGGCGATAGAATTGTCTCCTGCAGCATGGGCAGAAGACAGTTCTATCGCAAGCCGTGCAGATGGACTGTTTTTTTTATAGGATAAGGGTGACAAACGAGCACACAGTCCACCTGATGGTAAGTGGTTGCTGTGGCCCATAGACATCTACATCTATCCTCTATTACAAATCAAAATGCACATGCGTTGTCACCCGTGAGGACCAAGATGGAATGCCTCATTTCCAGTAAAAAGGGCCTCCGGCCACCTGCACTCACCAAGCGAAACGCAGAGGTAAACCTCTACTACACGCTGGTATTCTGTGAGGTTGTGGTACCACCCCGGTTCGAGCCGGCCCATCCGTGCGACAGCAAAAGCCGCCACGTGGCTCTACCACTGTTTAAAAAAACCTTATTCCATAAAAAAGCCTATGTAATCCACAAAGTAACTATACGAAAGGGCAATGTTATCCGTCTGTGAAAACTTCTGGCATGGTCTTATGAATGTTATGCTTTATTTAGTGTTCGCACATTTCCAGACCTCAGATGCCGCCCACCGTTGATCTGAGTAGGTACTTTATATTATAACAATAATAATATAGTTTGGTGAATCCAAAAGTATACAAAAATAAATTAACAAAATAAATCGATTACACAAAGTATAAAATCGATATAGGCTACATGGTACACTCCTGTCCTTTGTCTATCAAGGACTAAAGGAAAAAATGAAAACGTCTTCAAATTTTTAATAGTAACAAAATTTATAAACCTTGAAAATCTTTTTATTAACAAACGATATTGAGATACTAGGCTATTGATTTTTTTTATAGTATAGGGTGACAAACGAGCACACAGTCCTCGTAGTATCCTCGTTTGCGAATCAAAATGCAGATGCGTTGTCAGCTGTGAGGACTAAGATGGAATGCCTTTTTCCAGTAAAAAAGGTCTGCGGTTCTCTAGACTCACCATACGAAACACAGCAGTGTTAAGCTGCTATTTTACGATGGTATTCTGTGAGAGCGTGGTTCTTCCCCGGTCGAGCCGACATATTCGTGCTACATCTATACTACTAATATAGCTGCAGCATGGCTCTACCATGTATAAAATGATTATTTATTAGAAATTGATATGAAATAAGGAACCAGTTGACGTAATTCTGAAGCTAATAAAAAACCCGGTCTTGATACGTCAACTTTTTCGGGAGTTATCGGGTCCACGTAAAAGTTTTTTGAAACCGTTTTGATGATTTTTTAGAAAATATAAGATGGATTAATTAGAGTTTTCTTGATATACGGCTACTGATATTATCGTATAAGTGCAATATAATTATGATAGAGGCATTTTAAGACCACAGAATTGCTTGACCTTGAGGTTTCGAGGGTAACACACTGACTAGTAACGCGTCGTAAAAATGCGTGGTAATGCATTATTTTACCTGATTTTACTGCGCACGCAAACATTTGTAAGGGTCGATCGGTAGACAAAAACGTTGTTGCCCATAAATTACATTCAATTTTTGATAATTGCAAATAAAACTAGAAGCTTTATTTACTGGTATTTTCGCCTTTGTTAAGAACGCTTCTATTGTAGGGTTAGGTGTTGTGAGAAAACAAATTGAATCCTTTGATATTAGTTGGTATATAGTAGAATACACCGAAGTGTTATGCAATGTATAAGTATTTCTTTTATTTTTTATTTTGTTAAAAAAATGTTACCCCCACACTAGGATTTTCTCCTGTATGGTGAAGGCATTCATAAGATTCATAAGTCCACTGCTGAACAGGCCTCCCCCAAGGAATGCCACAAAGCACGGTCCTGAGCCACCTGCATCCATCGACTTCCTGCATGTCTTACCAGGTCGTTACTCCATCAGTGGGGGGTCGGTCCATGTCACACCTATGCCGGTAGTTATTGGGAGCACTAAGCTCGAGGTTGTTGACGAGTATGTTTATCTAGGGCAAATAATCCGACTAGGTAAGTCAAACTTCGACCGAGAGGTCAATCGACGGATTCAACTCGGCTGGTTCGGGAAATTACGACACATTTTCTCGCAGGTATACCTCAAAACTTGAAAACGAGACTGTACAACCATTGCGTGATACCGTATGAGGAAGCTCAAGGTCGCTCAGTGAGCTATGGAGAAGGCTATGCTCGGGGTTTCTCTGCGTGATAAACTTAAAAATGAGGATATCCGCAGTAGAACTAGAGTGGCCAACATAGCCCAACGGATTAGTAAGCTGAAGTGGCAATGGGCCGACCATATAGCTGGAAAATGATGAAAAAAGGTTCTAGAGTGGCAGCCTCGTACCGGGAGGTAAAATTTAGGGTGACTCCCCACTAGATGGAGTGACGAACTGGTAAGACATGCGAGAAGTCGAGTATGCAGGTGCGTACTACCATTTATTTACTCATTTCAATTTTTTCAACATCTTCTCCTCGGATTGGCATTTCTCTTAGAAATGGAAATCTATAGAGACATCTCATACTTCGTTCAAAAAAGACGGCTCAGTAGCGCAGTGGCTTAGCAATGAGTTGAGGCGCTGAAGGCCGTGGGCCGTGGAGTATTTGTATGTCCCACAAATAATTTTTCCGTGTCTCGATGTTTGTCCTTGTGAAATGTATGTCGAGGGGGACGGAGCCAATGCTCCGTCAAATAGTAATAGTCAATACTTCATTAGACGACACCTCTCCAACTTAACGTTTAGGTTCAGTGTGCCTCTAACCATTTGGTGATCACTACCAGTTTTCACCCTTGTGGTCACTGAAACATCACTGAATAGTCGTCATAATGAACTCAATCTTATTTTTTGTCAAACCGTTGGGGCTCAACCAGGTCCACTTCCTGTGGGGCGAGTTCTGGAAGAAAGAGTTCATCATAAAGTGACCCTCTTTCTCCACGAAGTCGGCCAGCTGCCGCTTTCTTGGGTTCCGTTGCCCCATTCCAAATTTCCCTACCCTCAGCTCGCCGTTCTCTATGGTACCTAATTTTGCATTGATGTCACCTATTGACACATATAGTGGGTTTTGGAAGAATGTATAGCTTTTGAGATATCCTCATTAATTTCCTCCACCTCCTCATCGAGATGTGCCGAGGTTGGTGTGTAAACCTGTATGACATTCAACGAATACCGTTCGATGTATCTGAGTATAAGGTACGCAACCCCCGTCGACACACTCACAATCTCTACAACGTTATTAACGAGAGGCTCTTGGATGATAAATCCGACACCTCCTTGGGACAGATGGTCGCCCTCCCGGTGATAGAACAAGTTGCTGGATTGGAGGATAACCGTGTCCTCCCCCTCTCTTCGGACCTCAGATAATCCTATAATATTGCAGTGTCAGTTGTCTATCTTTTCTTCCAGCTCCAGGATCTTTTCGCAGTCATCAGGGTGCTTGCGTTTTATGTTGCCAGGTGGGAGTCGTCGTAGGTGGCAACCAAACCTCCACCTGAGATTCTTAGCATCCCCTGCCCCGCCGTTACCATAGTCACCACCGTAGCCAGGAATAGCGGGGCGGCCGTGGACTGGGCCCATCTTTTTTTCACTTTTGTAATGGGGGGTATTTTACCATAGTTGCCACGCTTGGCGAGCGGGTTGGCTACCGCAGTTTATTATTGTAATTTTGTAATTTGCTGTTATCATAAAGATGCTACTGCCCATCTTCTGTCGCAGTTTCCCTCTGTCGCCTCTTACGACACCCACGGGAAGATTTGGGGTAATGGGTATTCTTACTCGCCACTACACGATGCATCCAGACTACATGGTTCCGAAACAGTGTTAAATAAAAAAATTACTTTCATTATGTATATGTGTCTATATTGAATGTTTACTGTATGTCTAAATTGTATGTCTATATTGAATAAAAATTATGCGATTGTATTCTATTCCAGGTTCTAGCCAATGGGTGTAGTAGGCACCCGTGGCGTGGGCAACACCAAGGTGCCCAGCCACACGGCCTACTATGTGGCGATAGGCGTTGTGGTGATTCTAGTGCTGCTGGTCTTCTGCTACTTTCTCTACTTCTGTCTGCGAAGAGTCAAGGGTGAGCATAAGCAGAATTTGTTTTGGAAAATATTATACTTAAATTCAGGTACAGACTGAAAGCATGCAGTGTAGTGGTGGTGTAAAGGAATCCATTGCCCAACATATTATAACGTAAGTTCGTAAGAGGCGACAGATAGAAATGAAACAGATGATGGGCAGCGCATCTTTCCGGTGAGCACTCCAAATAATAGAAATGCATTTGGTTTTCCACCTGCTTAGTGTTGCAACTATCTCATATATTCCCCTTTTTTATAGAATAGGGAGACAAACGAGCACACAGTCCACCTGATGGTAAGTGGATGTTGTAGCCCATAGACCTCTACATTAATGCTCAATTAAGAGTCAAAATACAGACACGTCGTCACCCGTGAGGACTAAGATGAAATGCCTCATTTCCAGTAAAAAGATTCTCCGGTTCTCTACACTCATCATACGAAACACAGCAGAATTAAGCTGCTGTTTTACGCTGGTATTCTGTGAGAGCGTGGTCCTACCCCGGTCGAGCTGACCCATTCGTGCTGCAATCATAATATAGCTGCAGCGTGGCTCTACCACGTGGAAAACCCCTACGATGGAATGAGTGGGGAAATCCCGTGTTCAGCAGAGGAGTTTTGGTAGGTCGTAATAAAAAAATGAACACTCCGCAAGCTATCAACATTGCTAGGGTTTTCCTTGCAATTCAAAATTCCCTGGAATTCTGCGTGATGAAATCCGTAATGAATATTTTCATTACGTAGAATATGAGTAAGAAGAGATCCTTATCGGATCCTTCTTTGATGTGGCTTAGGTGTCACACTTCAGTACCGATGGTACATTTTATGTTCATAAAGTTTTAATCAGATCTGATCACACTCTTAATCTCATAGCTGTAAGACGGGATATGAAGCTGCAGTCTTTAGTAGATTTGACAGCATACAGGCAACTGAACAGACAGATCTCTAAATGCATGCGGCGGGACTTACGCAACTTTAATACTGCTCGTATTGAAGAAGCGATCGAACGGAATCAGGTCTCCAAAGTCTTTGCTAGAGATCGGCCTGCTAGAAAGAGTCAAATGTCGAAGCTGAAGACCGAGTGTGGCAGCGTCGTTTCCGGGACACCTGAGATTGAGAGGTTCTATGGGCAGCTGTACACATCATCGTTGGAGCCACACGCAAGTGTGAGTAACGATCCAACAGCGAGTTTTATCGGACACTATTCCGATGATATCCCAAACGTCAGTCTGAGCGAGATTAGAATGGCTCTCCAGCATCTTAAAAACGGCAAGGCCCCAGGCGAGGATGGAATTACAGCGGAGCTTCTGAAAGCGGGTGGAAAACCGGTACTTGAAGTCCTTCAGAAGCTCTTTCTTCCGTTCTCCATGGTGGCATTACACCGGAGGCGTGGAGCAGAAGTGCGGTGGTCTTGTTCTTCAAGAAAGGTGAAAACACTCTCTTGAAGGACTACAGACCGATTTCCCTTCTGAGTCGCGTCTACGTGCTGTTTTCGAGAGTCATTACGAATCGTCTCGCACGCAGTCTTGCCGACTTCCAGCCTCCCGAACAAGCTGGTTTCCGAAAGGGCTTTAGCACCATAGACCACATTCATACCCTTCGGCAAATTGTACAGAAGTCCGAGGAGTACAATTTGCTACTATGTCTGGCGTATGTGGACTATGAGAAAGCCTTTGATTCAGTCAAAATTTGGGCTTTGCTGCAGTCCCTTCAGCGGTGCCAAGTTGACTGCCAGTATATCGAGGTGATAAAATCTTTTTTTTATGTAGAAGAAGAGCGGGCAAATGAGCATGCAGCTCACCTGATGGTAAGTTTTAAAAAGGATTAAGCTAGTTTCTTGGAGGTCCCTAAGTCGTATCGCTCCGGAAAAATCACCTTTGGGCAACAATTTCAGAAAGTAGTCGTGCGAGGAAAAAAAGCTCTTAGTAAATCGCACAGTAGTGAGCCGCCAAGTATGCCAAGCCCCCAGATGATGTGGTTGGTAACGTAAGTTTTGTCGCGATGTGTGTTGGTGAAATTTGGCGGCTGGAATTAATCCGAACAATTCTGCAGAGCACGCCCCGTGGAACATACAATAGATAATTTAAAATTAAAAATTTTGTACAGCCAACTTCAATATAAGTTATTAATAATAACTCAAACAACTCAAAAACTATTGGTCGACCTTGATCAAATTCATATGGGATCACACGAGAAGTATCAGCTTTCATATAAAAAAAGAATCATCAAAATCGGTCTACCCAATAAAAGGTTATAAGGTAACACAAATAAAAAAAAACATACGCGTCGAATTGAGTACAGTCTCCTTTTTGGAAGTCGGCAGAAAATGCAAAGGGATGGAACATCTCTACGCAACGCCAGTGAATCGAGCCGATCGGAGAGAACTCGATCGTTTTCGATTTGAGCCGCTCTGTGCTATATGCGATCAATAGAAAAAGAGATTGTAATAGTATTTCATATGAGGCGGAACCTGCGCCTTGTAAAGTTGCATGAAATACTGTCCCGCTTTGCTGAGCATGACAAGCTTTTTAGAGGTCGATTTGGCCTTCTCTCCTATCGAATGCTGTGCATTTCGTGGTCAAGTTTCGTGATCACTTGACCACAAAACTGCACAGCATTTGATATGCTGACACCGAGAATTCCGATACTGGCTGAGGCAGAAGGAGAGTGCAGAAAGTGAGGAGATACGACAAAGGGGTTCTTTTTAGGGGTTAACGCGCAAACTTGTGTCTTGTGAAGATTAAACTGGACTAGATTTAGTCACCCCCAATCCGTGACTTTGTCCAACAAAGACTCGATTTCAGACACAAGTTTGTTCGGGTACTAAAGTGATGTTTTCTCGAGAAATTTTGGCACGGTCGGTGTATAAAGCATCACCAGTGCTGTCGTCCGCATATCAATGATTTTTTTTTATTTATTATAAGCCAGTGCTTGATTACAATCCCACCTGGTGGTAAGTGATAATGCAGCCCTAGATTGTAAATCGCATGTCTTAGCGTAACAAAAGCCTATTCACTCTTGTCTTGAAGATGCCCAGATTGTATTCGGACGGAAAGATAGACGCCGGAAAATTATTCCACTCCTTTGCTGTACGCATTAGAAAAGACAAAGCAAAACCTTTGGTTCTAATGGGTGGAATATCGACAACAAAGGGATGAACACCTGCCGACCGGCTGGTTGTCCGATGGAGGAAAGGAGAGGGAGGAATTATAGCGTGTAATTCCTGCGCACACTCACCGAAATGCATCCTATAGAATACCGAGAGACTGGTTACCCTGCGCCTGTGCTCGAGGCTGACAAGATTGGTTTTAACCAAATTAAGCTCACCAATGAGCTACTTTGCACGTCTCTATACGGAGTCCAATGCTGCCAGGTGGCATTTGGCAGCACCAGCCCATATGTGACAACAGAACTCTATGCACGATCGGACTTGCGCTTTATATAAGGTAAGAAGCTGCCGCGGCGTGAAGTACCGCCGCACCCTTTCAAGGACACCAAGTTTCCTTGCGGCTGCTTTAGTTCTGGACTCAATGAACCACCCATAGTTGAGGTTCGGAAAAATTCAACCCTTAACAACTGAAGGCGGTCAGTGTACTCCAAGGATACATTCCAGAAATTCACACACTCAACCATAGCCTCTGTTTCTGACTGGATTTGATCCCGACTGGCCCGGGCACTTGATTGGTATCTCTCCACAACAGTGCTCTCGTCTGCATACCCATAGATACCGGGAATGAGCAGTTCATTTATATGCAGCAGGAAGAGAATTGCAGAGAGAACGGACCCCTGAGGAACACCGGCGTTAGTCATCACAGTATCGGATGAGTAGCCATCGACGACAACCCGGAGAGACTGTTCACTCGGAAAGTCCTTCACCCAGACAAGCAGGCCAGGGGATAAGCCGTACGCTGAAAGCTTGCCCAATAGACTAGCGTACCAAACCCTGTCAAAGGCCTTCGAAACATCGAGGGAAACAGCAAGTGATTCACCACAGTTCTCGAGGACTTCGCTCCGCATCGCGCTTTGAATGGCATACGCTAGAAGGTCTCCAGTTGATCGATTTCGGCGAAACTCGTACTGGCGATCACTGAGGAGATCAGTCTGCTCTAGGTATGCCATGAAGTGGGCGTTCAATGTACGCTCCATAATCTTGCAGACTCTTGAAATTGGCCGATAGTTGGCAGGATCAATATGGCTACCTTTTTTAGGCACAGGCTGCACATTGGCTAGCTTCCAAGATTTGTACACCATTCCAGTCCGAATGAGAGACGGAACAAGCGTGTCAACACAGGAAACAACTCACAGGTGGTGCACAGACTTTTAGAACTATAGCTGGTATACCATCAGGTCCACTAGCTTTGTTCACGTCTAGACTTCGCAAGGTTTTAAGAACCTCATTGTTGGTGATACGGACCTCTGACATAGAGGAACCGCAGTGAGGTAATTGATATGGTACGCTGTTGCTACTGTCTAGACACGAATTGCAAGCAAAAAGAGAAGCAAATAAGTCCGCTTTCTCCTTAGGCGTATGCGCCAGTGAGCCATCTGGTTGTTGTTATCTGTTTGCAACATATAATTGATATTGTGACAGCTCATTATTATTATTATTATTATTCATCATTACAGCCTTTCATAAGTCCACTGCTGAACATAGGTCTCCCCCAAGGAATGCCACAAAGCACGGTTCTGAGCCAGCTGCATCCATCGACTTCCTGCATGTCTTACCAGGTCGTCACTCCATCTCGTGGCGGGTCGCCCTACACTTCGCCTACCGTTACGAGGCTGCCACTCAAGAACCTTCCTTCCCCATCGGTTGTCGGTTCTTCGAGTTATATGACCGGCCCATTGCCTCTTCAGCTTACTAATCCGTTGGGCTATGTCGGTTACTCTGGTTCTACTGCGGATATCCTCATTTCTAAATTTATCACGCAGAGAAACCCCGAGCATAGCCCTCTCCACAGCTCGCTGAGCGACCTTGAGCTTCCTCGTACGGCCAGCAGTGAAGGACCCCGTCTCAGATCCGTAAGTCATCACTGGCAACACGCACTGGTTGTACAATTTCGTTTTAAGGTTTTGAGGTATGTCTGACGAAAAGATGTGTCGTAGTTTCCCGAACGCTTCCCAGCCGAGTTGAATCCGTCGATTGACCTCTCGGTCGAAGTTGGACTTACTTAGTCGGACTATTTGTCCCAGGTAACATACTCGTCAACAACTTCAAGCTTAGTGCTCCCAATAACTACCAGCAGAGGTGTGACATGGACATTAAACATGATCTTTGTTTTGTCCATGTCCATCCTAAGACCTATTCGTTGGGAGACACTATTGAGGTAATTGGGCATGGTGCTTAGGTCCTCCAGCGATTCTGCCATAAAGGCTATAACGTCGGCAAATCGAAGGTGAGTGGTGTACTCGCCATTGGTGTTAATAACGTATCCTTTCCAGTCCAGTAGCTTGAAAACGTCTTCCAATGCAGCGGTGCAGAGTTTCGGGATATAACGTCACCCTGTCTTACACCTCCCTGCAGTTGGATAGGTTTCGTGCTCTGGTTCTGTACTCGGATAGCCATCGTAGCCCTACGGTACAAACACTTCAGCACTTTGATATACTGACTGTCAACTTGGCACCGCTGAAGGGACAGCAGCACCGCCCAAATTTCGACGGAATCAAAGGCTTTCTCATAGTCCACATACGCCAGACATAGTGAGAAATTGTACTCCTCGGACTTCTGTACAATTTGCCGAAGGGTATGTATGTGGTCTATGGTGCTAAAGCCCTTTCGAAAACCGGCTTGTTCGGGAGGCTGGAAGTCGTCAAGTCTGCGCGCGAGATGATTCGTAATGACTCTCGAAAACAGCACGTAGATGCGGCACAGAAGGGAAATCGGTCTGTAGTTCTTCAAAAGAGCGTTGTCACCTTTCTTGAAGAACAAGACCACCGCACTTCTGATCCATGCCTCCGGTGTAATGCCACCATGGAGGACAGAATTCAAGACTTCAAGTACCGGTTTTCCACTCGCTTTCAGAAGCTCCACTGTAATTCCATCTTCACCTGGGGCCTTGCCGTTTTTAAGGCGCTGGAGAGGTTTTAAGGTGCTGCCATTCTAATCTCGCTCAGACTGACGTTCGGTATATCTTCGGAATAGTGTCGGATAAGACTCGCTCTTGGATCGTTACTCACACTTGCGTGTGGCTCTAACGATAACGTGTACAGCTGCCCATAGAACCTCTCAATCTCTCACTCAAAATCTTAGGTTCCCCGGAAACGATGCTGCCACACTCGGTCCGCCGGGGACTGGGGGCCGTCTCTTCGTAACTTTCATCATGGGGGGTATATTGCCATAGTTGCTACGCTTGGCGAGCGGGTTGGCAACCGCAGTTTTTTATTGTATTTTTGCCGTTACCAGGAAGATGCTGTTGCCCATCTCCTGCCTGTTTCCCTTTGTCGCCTTTTACGACACCCACGGGAAGATATGGGGAAGTGGATATTCTTAACCGCCACTACACGGCAATGTGTAACCTGAATTATCCCTTTTTAATCAGCAGCAACCCTGACTCCAGCACCGCCACCCTATGTCTCAAAGTCTAGCATCCATTAGCACAAATCTATAATCTAATACGAACGCTGGTTCTCGCGGGTCACAAAATTAGCGGTTTTAACCGACACAGGAAAATATCTCCGAGTTAAATCAAATGGCACAAAGCAACTCGTTGACGCGAATTAATATTGTCAGAATGCACTTATGCATACAACCACTATACCACTTGACGCTAATTAATTGTAACGACGTTAGTTAATCGCTCAAACTCATAAGAGTTTGAGCGATTAATTAACGTCGTTAATATATATATAATTCAGCCTCGTTGACACGTAAAACAAACAAAAAAAAAAACAACGCAAAAATGAGAGGCACTTAAGTCAACGGTACAATTGCAACGAAATTACTCTAATCACTCAAATTCAAAATAAGCCTCTTGTCGCGAACGCACAACTTAGACAAAACTAAACCGAGGCGGTCTTCATGAACCACAATTCGGTAGCGAAGTAACGCGCACAAATACTGAAAATCTAGACCATAAAACCAAAACTGGTGGCACGACATCGCTGCCACGGTCACCACAAAAACGTTACGTTGCGATGGCGCCTAAAGTTACTGACTTCGCACTCGCGTTCTGCGCATGCGCCCTCTGCCCAGCGACCCACACGGGAGTGGGGCCACGGTGACCTTTATAAAGTCAGCGGGAGGACACGAGTGTTGATTGCAAATTTCACATGTTAATTGTTTGGCCTAAACAAGTGGAATAGCGATAATTTAATGTTCTTAACTTTTTTGAGCCTTATCTTCGTGAACGGGGTTGTCTAGCTTATAAGGCACTATCAACAGCTTTTGACTGCTATTTGACTGTATATTCATTCTTCCAAGAGATACCTAAAAGAACTAAGTTACTAAATAAACACAACATAAATAAGGGTCCTATTTACGATGATCACACCATAAACTTATTAAACGGCCTATATTTAAACCTTTAGAAAGATCAATATATGGTTAATACACTGGTCATGTAAACTTGATATATTTTTATATATCTTATATATATATAGATTTTGAAAAAATAAAGAAAGAAGAGGAGGGGGGGGATGTCACAATGTGCAGAAGAAACAGCGTAGATGATAGCACTCAGTCTTGTGGAACACCACAATTAATGGGCTTTTAATCGGAACTTGCACCGTCTACTACGACCTTGAGCCTTCGTTCAGCAAGGAAACTGGTGATCCTAACTTCGAAAGAAGCGCTTTAAGCCAAACCTGAGCGAAGGCCTTCGCAATGTGCAAACTAAGGCCAAAACCTCCCTCTTGGACTCTACTACCTCCGTCCATTTATGAGTTATTTAAGCTAGAAGATTACTAGCTGGGCGACCCCGACGGAAACCGTACTGGCGGTCATTAATCAGCTGTTGATCGTCAAGGTACCTCATGAGCTGGCAGTTAATAACGAATTCCATTATTTTGGAGAACGAGGAGGTGATGGTGATAGGCCTGTAGTTGGACGGATCTAAGCGGTCGATTTTTTTAGGGATCGGGTGCATCTAAGCTATCTTATATGAGTTTCGGACTACGCCTATGGAGTACTAGTACCGGCTAAGGGGCATTAAAACCGGTGCTATTAACGGAGCACACGTCTTCAGTACAATAGGAGCGACTCTATTATATCCGCTCGACTTGACTTGACGTCCAGGGAGAGGAATGCTTTGCGCAGCAAGCGCCTTGTAAACAGCACATCATGGAGCAGCATCATGAAGCACGGAGCACTCACACCGCGGGATGGTCAGCGGTGTTTCCCCCCGTCATCGAGAGTCGAGTTGGATGCAAATAAAGAGCCTAGCAGATCGGGTTTCTCTTTGAGTCGTCCTCCCTGTAAGATATAGCTGCCGGAAATTCCCTTGGACATTCTTGGCGTAGTCGGTGGAAGTGGAATTAGTTTCTCACCAATTCTGCCGATGGTAATTACACTTTTCAAGCACCTGGAGGCGGAATTATATATATATTTTTAAGAACGTCGGTATTTGCATCCCGAGACGTTGTTGCTTCACCCCAGACCCGATAGCACTCCTGTTTATGACGTGATGCAATTTTACTGGAGTAACCAAACCATGGCAGAGTTCTGCCTCCGATAAGCACCACAGATAATGGAATAAAAAGTTCCTTTTCCCTGAATCTTCTGTACCACAACATCGACAAAATCAGCAACAATGTTGGGATCACCCGGCAAGAAGCGAACCCGCCCCCAAGGGCAATGTAAAATAAGATCGCATCCTGTTCCAATCAGCCGAACTATAGAGCCAAACACGATGGAAAACTGTAGCATGCAACCTCGATGGGAGCGTGAGTAACGCCGTACTTCGGATCAGACAATGGTCCAAGAAGCAAAGAGGGGCATCGACGGAGACCTGATACCCGTAGTAAACAACAAAGTAATCAGTTGTGTTATAAAAAAAACAAGGCAAAGTTATAAAAAGGTCTACCCGCATGATCAGTTAAACGGGAACCAAGCCATTTAGCGTGGTGGTGTTAAAATCACCAAGGATCACGATCTCTGCAGATGAGAATTCTTGTAGCATGGAACCTGCAGCCATTTGAACGTGGTCGATGAGTCGATCTATGTCGCCATTACCGCTATGGGACCTATAGATATACCCGAAAACACGGGGATGGTCGTCGTTATCTACGTGCAGCCATAGGATGGATAAATTTGTACCTTCAAGTACCTTTTGCCGAGGCACAAAGAAGTGTTCTAATTAGTACCTCGGGTAGGTGAGATACAAAGTATCAGGTAGAAAGGACACCTGTGTCTCGATTAGAAAAAACAAGACCAGCTTCGCCGTCTCCAGATGATACTGTACGGCGTTAAGGTTGGAATGAAGTTCCATGATGTTGCAGAAATTCACGGATAGCGTGGCAATGGTCGCCTTTCTCTTATTGTTCTGCTTGCCCCGAGCAGTTTTAGTCTTGAGCGGAATCCCCTCCCCCTCCCCCACAGAATACGCTTGGCAGCCTGAGAGGCCTCAGCACCCAGGTTCAGGAAGAGAAGGGTAGCTTGGGCATGGGTACTCAGCGAGCGATTCTCTAATACCAGGGGTGCTGGTACCCTTCTGTGGTAGTGTCCTATTTAATTCCGCTACTACGTTAAGGAGGACGAGGATCAGGCCTCCAGCCACCTGCACTTACAAGGCAAACGCAGAAATAAACTTCTACATCTCGCTGGTACTCTGAGAGTTTGTGGTACCACTCCGTTTGAGCCAGTCCATCCATGCGACAGCAAATGTTTAAAATATAAAAAAGACTTCGACTAATATCGCCGCTTGGTCTGTTGCAGAGCTGTCACACCAAGAGTTCCAGGAGGTCCACTCCGTGCGGCCTCCACCGCCGCCGATCTCCCCGACCGCCTACCCGGTGCAGCCAGGTACTACTGTTTACTGTCACCTAAATTATCTGTCGTGGTAGTCCAGCAGTGACGTGAAGCATATTAGGTGGGAGGATTCATTTTCTGCCTAGGAATCAGTCTGAGTAGGTACCAAGTTTTTACCTAATTGTTCCGTCAAATAGCAGTGTGTCCACTATTGTGTTCCCATGTAAAGGGTATTGAGAGTCATTGTAATTACAAACTGTGAGGAATTCCATCTTATTCCTCAGAGTTAATATCTGTATGTATGTAGCTTTCTTTGTTTGAATTTGGCTGATGGTAAGTGACTACTGTAGTCCATAATCATCAGCAACCAACTACGTCGTCACTTCTAAACAGTAAGATGAAATACCTCATAGCCTGTATTTATACTGGCTCTCTGTACGTGTTCACGATTTGCTGCGACGACAGAAATAGGTAAGAGATTGGTACTCGCCCAGATAAGCTCCTCCGGCTGAAAGGGATCCCCTTAGTATAGAAAAATATCGCAAATTCTTTAACATTATATTATATTATTGTGCAGGAGTTCGCGACAGTGCCACTGCCATGGCGCTCCTTTGTCGTTCGCTACCACAGGACACTGTGTTCCCCACTTCACCAGCATCACCCGCGAAAGGAGTGTCTGCCTTCTCCCCGGCTTCCTCTGTCCTCTTAGCTTCACCCAGTAGACTCCCAATGTCACCCACATCACCAAATCGCAGGACGTTTGCGTATTACACTTCGCCAAGACGTTCTTTGACCCCGACCTCGCCTAACTGCCACCGCAGGTCTCTGGGTTCGCCGAACAGGATGCCGTTGTCTCCCACATTCTCCAATCATAGAGGTCCCTTATCCCCATCACGTAAAGCTGCTACGGTTCCCGCGCGTCGCGTCAAGTCACCACACAAGCCTCCAGTCATCATATTGTCTCCAGCGGATCATAACTCACCACCTTTGCCAGCGCCTACCGTGATTTCCACGCGATAACTCTTATCAGTTCACAAAAATAGAAAAAGGCATGTATTACGCATTATATTACAAATATTCAGTTATATTGTACTGTAAATGTTTGTTGTTGGTGTAGTTTCATTGCGAAAGGTAAAGAACGGTGTTATATTAAAAAAATGGTTGAGGAAGGTTTTAAAGTCAAAAAATAAAACTAATAATCTTCCGCTCACCAGATGTCGCTAGTTGGGACTGAGGTGAAGTTTTTTGTTATACAATGTTATTTAATTTTGAAGATAGTTTTAAATAAACGTTTATCAATTACTTAGTATTTATTACACATATATATTATGGTGTAAATATGTACGCCCGACGTTTCGGATGCTTTCTGGCACCCATGGTCACGGGGAACTGATGCGATTGACGTCCCGATATCAGAGTTAACCTGGAGTACCATCAGCTTTTTAATTATTAGTTTTGGTCCGATCTACGCAGAATGAACTTACTGTATCTTGGGTTTAATTTAAATTTTATTAATTACAGAATCTCAAGTAGGTGGTAATACCCAGCCTTTCTCTCGACCGAAATTAAGATGTATTTTAAATTCAATTGCCTCGCGTATCATCCTTGGCAGGAATCGATGTTCTTTCGCGAGAATTTGTGGTCTATCAAAACTAATGTAATGACGGAGACCGTCTAGGATATGATCATTTTATTGAAAATGCAAATTAAATTTGTTTTTAAATATAATATTTGTGTATATGCTGAATAAATATATTCCCTTGTGATTTATTATTATACTTCATAACGTTTAAATAAAACTTAATTAGAATATTTTGACTTGGAACGTATCTATTACCTATTGAAACAAACTAATTAATCTCTGACAGTTAAATTAAAAATGTTGTTAGTGTATGTGCATTCAATCTACGTGCCTATTGTAAAGTTAAGAACTGTAAATGAAATCATTACGTAGATTATAATAAATTTATAAGTAAAAAGCTGTAACACCCTATTTCACCTCCTCAGGGGTTGAATTTTCCAAAACTCTTTCTTAGTGGGTGTCTACGTTGTGAAAGAATGTCATATTCTTTTATTGATTGACTTGATATTTGGCGTTATATACACCAAATTTCACGTCAACCGGGCGTAGTAGATCTCGTGATGAGTGAGGGAGTAAGTAGTGTTTCGCTTTTAATATAATTATATAGATCTATATATTACATATTATATTATATACTCGTAGATAGATAGGTAGGTAGCTTATTAGATAGTGGTTAAATCTTGTGACAGCTTGCATCAGAGACATTACTGCTGTGACCACAGAAAACTATTCTTATTATTTACTTCTATGCTGTGACAGTCTTGGAGATTTAAGAAAACAAGTTAAGATTTAAATACTCTATACATATAAATAAAATTGAAGTGTCTGTCTGTAATATCAAAATAACTGGCTTTTATTAAGCTAAGGATGTTGTTTGCATGTTATTAAGACATCTGTCTGTTTGTACGGCCTAATCTTTGGAATGGCTGAACCGATTGTGATGAAACTTTACCAACAGATAGAGCGCAATGCCGGGAGAGATTTAGGCTATATTTTTCCGAAAATCTTAAACTATATTTTGAGGAAAAAAAAACGTTAAAAGGATACAATAAAAATGGTCTTCGACTACCCTATTAAGAGATTATATCCGGGCGAAGTCGGGGCGGGTCGCTAGCTATATATAATGAATGTATTATTGTACGTAGAACGACCGAGTATCAAACGGCCGGTCGGTCGTCCTAGGTACCGTTTTGTAATACCTACCTTACAGCCAATGAGGGCTAATATAATCTTCCACTCACCAGATGTCGCTAGCTGTGACTGAGGTAAAGATTTTTGTTACACAATGTCAGTTAATTGAGAAATTAGTTTTAAATAATAGTCTATCATTATCTAGAGTGTTATATTAATACACAAAAAATGTCTCAGTGGTTTAATGTTTAATTTTTTGCACTTTTTAAATCTTTTTTTTTTAAATTTTGCTACTTTTACTTTTAATCTTAATTAATATAAAATATAGTTAATAGTACAAAAAACAACATTAACCCTTACATTTTAATAAGAAATTATCTTCCCTGAATCACCGATTATAAAGTGACGCCATCTTGGTGACAGAAAAAGTCGTGGGGCCCTCATTGGCATGAAGTATTCAAAATCATGAACGTTTAAAAGAGTAAGATATTTTTAAATAAACTTATATAAAAATGATCGTATAACTACGTGTGATATTTCTAAGCTTTTGTAACAATGTTAGATAATATATGTAACAATGTTAGATAATGTTAGATAAATCTTTTCTAAACGTATTCTTATATTTGGATGTCTTGTATATTTTAGATTGAAATTTGCCAGTTTTGTGCCAAAATATATCCGACCAATCTCGTGTATATTATAATTATACTTGATAGGTACCTATGTTATTTCAAATATGCTGTAAGCTACCGTTATATAAAACCTTATCTTTGCTAAGGCTTTTGTTAAGAATAATTGTATTTACTAAGAATTATCAAAGTACATTTAATTATAACTAATGTTTGAAAGATATAATTTCGCTTAATGTATATTGTTAAATTACGCCTAAATATCAAACGGGTGTACACAAATAACATAATATAAATAAATGTTATCGACTGTTTGAATTTTATAATAAATTTAATATTTATGAAAATGGCTTTTTTTTTTAAGAATTTTTCAAGTAGTAGGGCCACGCCGCAGCTATAGTATGGTTGAAGCACAAATGTGTCGGCTCGACCGGGAAGAACCACTTTTTCACAGAACTTTTTTCAGGAAACGAGGCATTCCGTCTTAGTCCCCACGGGTGACAACGCATCTGCATTTTGATTCGCAAACGTGTATAGATGTAGATGTCTGTGGGCCACAGCAACCACTTAGATACTATCAGGTGGACTGTATGCGCGTTTGTCACCTTTATACTAAAAAAAAAAAAACAAGAAAATCCGTTAAAACTTTCATTTAAGGATATCTTTCTCTCCAACTTAATCTAATATTAAGTACAATCTTCTTGAATATTACAATTTATACATTTCTAGGGAGAACGAAAGTAGGTAGTAGAAATAAATAGTAAACTTTATTTGAAACATTTTTATTAACTTCTGTTCGTAACAAGAATACATCTTCTATTGACACCGCAATAAGTAAAGCGATATTTAAAATATATGTGTATTAGTGATTTCTTATATTTACGCGAACACTACACATTTAAATGAAACTAATTTTACGGATTTTATCGCGTATATTAACTTATTTTTCATTCCCGACGTTTCAAGCACTTTACAGCACCCATGGTCACGGGGGGGACTGAGGTGTATGACGTCCCAATGTCATAGTTAACCACGGCTACCTCCAGATTAAAAATTATTAATTTTTGTTCCGATCTACGCAGTATGAACTTACAGTATCATGAAGTCTTGCAGTTGTATGCTTGGGTTGGGATTTAATTTTATTAATTATGGGATCCCAAGCAGATGGTAGCACCCAGCCATCTTCTCTATTGAAATTAGGATGTTTTTTGATTTCAATAGCCTCGCGAATCATCCTTGGAAGGAATCGGTGTTCTTTAGCGAGGATTTGTGGTCTATCAAATCTAATGTAGTGACGGGGGCGATCCTGTACATGTTCACAGACTGCAGACTTCCCAGAGCGTCTATTCTTCACATCAGCTATGTGTTCTTTAACGCGGGTTTTTATGGATCTTTTAGTTTGTCCTATATAAGAGAGACCACATTCACAATCCAGCTTGTACACTCCTGCATCTTGCAGAGGAATATTACACTTGACTGATGGTAAAAACTGACTAATCTTCTTCGGCGGCTTGAAATATGTTTTAATGGAAGCACGCTTCAAGATGTAGCCAATCTTGTCAGTGACACCTCTGACATATGGCAGTACAGCAGGCACTCGCTCGACTGTGGCCCGCTTCACTCGTTCACTGTGACGTAGGCGCGGGACCCGAAGCTTATTGTCGTGCAAAACTTGCTTGACGTGTTGGAGCTCGGAGGCCAGGTGTTTACTGTCACAGATCCCTCGTGCTCTCTGAAACAAAGATTTACCCACGGTAGCTAACTGTGAAGGATGGTGGTGAGAGTTACAGTTAGAGTTAGGTTAGGTTAGGTGGTAACAGTTAGCTACCGTGGGTAAATCTTTGTTTCAGAGAGCACGAGGGATCTGTGACAGTAAACACCTGGCCGCCGAGCTCCAACACGTCAAGCAAGTTTTGCACGACAATAAGCTTCGGGTCCCGCGCCTACGTCACAGTGAACGAGTGAAGCGGGCCACAGTCGAGCGAGTGCCTGCTGTACTGCCATATGTCAGAGGTGTCACTGACAAGATTGGCTACATCTTGAAGCGTGCTTCCATTAAAACATATTTCAAGCCGCCGAAGAAGATTAGTCAGTTTTTACCATCAGTCAAGTGTAATATTCCTCTGCAAGATGCAGGAGTGTACAAGCTGGATTGTGAATGTGGTCTCTCTTATATAGGACAAACTAAAAGATCCATAAAAACCCGCGTTAAAGAACACATAGCTGATGTGAAGAATAGACGCTCTGGGAAGTCTGCAGTCTGTGAACACGTACAGGATCGCCCCCATCACTAAATTAGATTTGATAGACCACAAATCCTCGCTAAAGAACACCGATTCCTTCCAAGGATGATTCGCGAGGCTATTGAAATCAAAAAACATCCTAATTTCAATAGAGAAGATGGCTGGGTGCTACCATCTGCTTGGGATCCCATAATTAATAAAATTAAATCCCAACCCAAGCATACAACTGCAAGACTTCATGATACTGTAAGTTCATACTGCGTAGATCGGAACAAAAATTAATAATTTTTAATCTGGAGGTAGCCGTGGTTAACTATGACATTGGGACGTCATACACCTCAGTCCCCCCCGTGACCATGGGTGCTGTAAAGTGCTTGAAACGTCGGGAATGAAAAATAAGTTAATATACGCGATAAAATCCGTAAAATTAGTTTC